CAGGAATTTTGTGCTCCACAGAGATGAAGGCAGTTTTTAGGGGTTCCCCTATTTGTAGTAGGAGCAGTCCCTAACATGCAGGGTTTGGTTTTGTTACCGTGACGTGGCTTACTGTAACCAACTGTGTTTCCAATGCTTTGATTGCTTTGGGGTGTCCCCTGTTCCCTGCTACTGCCATCAGTTCTCTGGGGCAGGGAAATGGTGGTGGGAGCTGGCAGGGTGACCACAAGAGGCTCCATAGGGTAGAGCAGGAGCTTGGCTAGCAGAAGCCCAGTCCTGAAATGACAGCAGAGAGATGAGCAGAAACCACCGAGCTGTTAGATACAGCTTACATCCACCAGCAAAAAGCTGTCAGTTCTATTGAGCTGAAAAAAGGAAATTTCTAGGGATGTGCTTTCCACCCAGTGCTAGGAATCTAACTACTTCACTTACCTTTTGTTCCCGAGCTCATGGTGAGGAATATGACAGAGGATGCTTAAGGATGATGGTCTCAGACACTTGCAGGGGTGAATTCCAAACCCTTTCTATGCGTTTGCACGTTACGTTGGAAGCTCTGCATCCCCTGGGGGCTGCTCTGTCCTGAGTGCCCATCCTTCCATCAGCATTAACTGCTGTTGCAGAATTACTAGTTGTTTTTACTTTAGCTTTGTGGGCTATGGAGGGAAAATAAAAGAAAGGTTCCTTCAGCTTCTTTTCCCTTTTATTGTAGTCTTTCCTGGTTCATTACCAGGAATGATCAACTAGACAGTTTCTGAGAAAACAGGCAGCATGCCACGTGCTGCTTCATTAGCAGCTCAGTGCTCCTTGTATTCCTGCAAGCAGCTCTTCAAAAGCAGCAAGTACTTCAAGGCAGGTATTAACTGGAAAATAGCTCTTCCCCTTTACATGAGGAGCTGGTCGGATGCTTTCTCAGAGGGCTTCTGGTTATGAGCCATTACTTGAAAGAGTCTTCTGCTTGTTTGGAGCATCACAGCCAGGCACTGTGACCTTTTATGTCCACTTTGGTGCTTTTATAGCCCTCCCCAGATTATCTTGCATGCTTACCCTTAAAGCAGGTCTTTTACCTATGCAAGAAAGTCAAACTGATGGACTGAGCCAAGACCCCTAGAATCTGAGACCCTTTCCTTTAAGCACTGGGCCACTGATATGCCCAGATTTGTTTGTACCTACCTTGTCCCTGCATGCTTCACGTGGTTGCAGTAGGAGTGCAGGAGGTTGAGCTCTGGTCTGACCAAGCTCTCCTTCATTCAGCAGAGCAATAATCTTCAGATCTGTGGCTTAAAATAATTCCTTGGTGCTTTCAGCCTTGCAGCTGTGGCACGTTTTCAGCTAGGGGACAGGCAGCGTGCCACCAGTTCAGGTGCCTTCACTTCAGCCTGTCCTTTGAGGAGCTTTCACTGTGAATGATCTTGCTCATCTTCACCTGTATTCTGCAGGGGCATCTCAGCTCTCCATTCATCTGGTATCTCAGGACTTTCCCCTTTTCAGAAGTGCCTTTGCCTGAGGATATTAGAAGTTAAAATCTATGATGCTTTATTGTTTTGTTTCATGTGGTTTTTTTTCCCATTTCCTTCTTTGGCTCTTAGTAGTGGTTCTTAATTTGGGTGACAAATTCACTGCTGTGTCCTTGGGGTGCAAACCTCAGTGGAGGAGTGCTGTTGTTGCCTGTAGTTGGTTAATAGGGTGAAAATGAAACTGGAAGGACATCTAGTGGCTAACTGCGCTGTGTCCTCATCCAGATGGAGTTGTAGGGGGTGAAGGAAGCATTGTACATTTGTCTTTTGGAACTTAGCACTACTGTGTAAAGCCAATCCTATCGTTCTGCCCTGGAAGTTTCCCTGCTCTGCTGGGGAGATGGATACAGCCTCAGAGAGCTGCCAGCTGATTCCTTCGTGTTGTGAAGGGAAATGAATGTGAAAAGGTCTTCCAGACTAAACGTTAATAGTCTACAGACTGTTCAGCTTTGCATCCAGATTTCTGTGTGTGTGTGATGTATTTTCCTACGTATTTTGCTACAAAGCAATTGCTTGTCCAGCTGTGATTCGCTTCTTACTCTTTCAGGCCTTTACAAACATCAGCCCAGAGACAGCAGATCCCCTTGCTCCTTCAGTCCAGGAGCAGCCTGTGCTGCTTAGCACTGAGATTGCAGCAGCACCCAGTTGCTCCTGCCTGTTTGAAGGGCTCTGCCTTGCTGACATGAAACTGATGGCATGGAGCCTGCGTTACCTGTTTGTTTGGGGAATGAGAGAGCCTCAAACTTAGCTGCTTTGGTATTTGGATATTTTCACAGAAGCATTAAAGTTGGAAAAGACCTCTCAGATCCCCAAGTCCAACCCCACGGTGCCCACGTCCCTCATTGCCACATCTCCATGGCTCTGGGACACCCACAGGGACAGTGACTGCCCTACCTCCCTGTGCAGCTGTGTCAGTGCCTCACCACTCCTTTTGAGCAGAATTTGTTCCTAATATCCAACCCGATATTTAGTCCTTCCTTTAGTTCAGATATTTTCTGCTCTGGTGATTTAAATTTTCTCATGCTGTGCTCTGTTTTTCAATCCTGTTTTCTAGCAGAGCCATAGCATTAGCCTGGGGAGCATGAGTTGTGGTTAGCTGTGCTATGGGGCAGCATCTCTGGGTGGAGCTCCCTGCGAGCTGGGATGAGTTGTGAAGCGATGTGGAAGCCAACATGTGGTGCTTTGCAGGTGGGAGCACTCCCATTGAGATCCCTGGTGTGTGGGGCCAACATTGGCTTTCACCTTGGTTATGCCAGTTCTCTGTGGGCAGAGTATCACAGAATCACAGAATGGCCAGGGTTGGAAGGGACCTC